GGAGAGGTGTGTTCTGCTTTCCGCAGCCCCCCCCACCCCGGACCCCCCGAGCCCAGTCCCAGGAGACGGCAGGAAAGATGGACGAGGGCGTGGCCGACGCTCACCCGTGACCTCGGGAAGGAAGAACCGGACCAGGGACGGAGAGAGACTGCCGGAGTCTCCACGGGGACTGTGCTCTGATGTGCCACCCTGTTGTTCCCTGTGACTCAGTTTCCTCGGCTTGGTGGAATGTCCCCTGCTGTGTTTTCCAGCGTCCTGTGACTGTCCCGTGCCTGCCATAGGGCAGGGCCCGGGGGACTGCTGCACTCTCCATGGGGACTGTGCTGTGATGTGCCACCCTGTTGTTCCTTGGGACTGAGTTTCCTCGGCTTAGTGGGGTGTCCCCTGTTGTGTTTTCCAGAATCTCGTTAATGCGGGAGAGCTCCACAGTGTGGAAATCCAAAAAGGGACCCCCTGCCCTGGAGCTCCGAGGACAAGCTTTTTTTTTTTTTTAAGACCATGAAAAACAATTCAAGGACACAACAGACACCAAACAGGAAAGCACAAGTTTTATCGAAGCAAAAGCACACACTTAATAGAAAAGTACTAGCAAAGTATTTTCCCAAGCTGTCTGAATCATGGGCTGTTTTGAGTGCTTGGGAATGGGGGCGGGGAGCCTGAAGACATGGTACTTGCAATGGTGATACTATAATGATATGATTAGCCAAAGTTTAACAAAGGACAAAGGACAGACTCCGGAGCCTTATCCTAGAGGGGAGAGGGCAGCTCAAGGCCACCTATTTTGTTCTATGTCCTTGGACCCTGCTGGGATTTGAAACAGGGAGAGAGCTGAGTGAGGGACAAGGAAGAAATTCCAGAGCTGCAGGGAAAGGGTTGAGTAAGGGATTAAGGCAATTTCCTTAGGCTAACTATCCTGCCTCACCGTGACTGTTCTGTGGAGGTCATAGGGCAAGGCCAGGCCCCAGCATGTGGGACACTGGGGGAGTGGTGCCTTCAGTGAGTTGACATCACCAGCATCCACCGTCCTGCAAATGCCAATTGTGGTGCCCTCTGGAAGTGGGACTATGGTGGGAGGTCCACGGGTGTGGGGGGCCGCTGAGGGACCCCAGGAGGTGAGCAGGGCCAAGACTTATGGGCTCTAGTGGCTGTTAGAAGTTCCTCTTGGCGTTGTCATTCCCTTTCTTCAACGGTTTCAGTAGCTGTTTGTCTTAAGTAAATGTCACGGAATGTTTCAGCTGAGTCTCACCTCTGCTGTGGGTAATTGATGGAAAGGTCTGCTGAGGGTGGAGGTTGGGGGCAACAGTGGCCTGGGACTCCCAGTGAGCATTGGACTATGTTGAGGGAAAGATCCAAGAGGGGCTGTGGGGTGCTTAACTTACAAAAGGTGGTCACAACCCAGGGCGCAATGGCATATGGACCCAGGTAAGGGAACTGAGTTGTGTAAACTGGATGGTGCCAGACTATAGGGATCTAGTGGTTGGACTGAGTAGCTTGTTGCTTTTCCAGGGCATACACCGAAAGCTCCCAAAATAATTGGGTAAGGCCTTGAAAGGAGGACAAGCGACAGCTGGCAGGATGGAGTGCTGCGTTGACGCTCCAGCACAGGTGTCTTTTCAAATGCTCCCCAATTTATTCTCATATCTATTCAGTGTCTGGAACTACTGTGCCAGACCTTTCACGATCTCTGTGCGAAGCCAGGAGATTCTGGATGAGGAGGGAAAAAGGGTGGATGCAGAGAGAACCCCAGTCTTCCAGGGGTCTGGGAAGCAAGAGGAAATACGGGTATGTGCCTCCCCACACGGCGCGTGTGTGCGCCTGCGCGGGCCGCCATTTCCTGCAGTCGCAAGCTCGGGTCACAATGCCTTTCGGGAAACGTGACCCCGCGTACAAAGCGAAATGGCTGCCCTGGTCGAGATTGGCCTTGGCGGCGCTTCTCTTGAAGCCGTACCTGCGACGGCCGCCAGATGGCGCGCGAGGATCATAGACGGATCCGGTCGCATTTCTGGGGCTACCCTGGGCTCCTACTGCCCTTCCCCCGCCGGCCTCGTGTACCCGGTGTCCTGTTGGCCTTGGGGTTGAAGCGGGCCCCTCTGACCATGTGTGGACCATCGCCACAGTCCAGACAGAAGCGGGAGGAAGGGAGCTCGGTCCCTTGAGGAGCCGAAAGAGGCTCCTTTGGCCCGATCCTGTTTGGCAAGGTGCCCTGGTGTGGGTCGTCCGTGGACACTGGACAGTGGTCTTCAGAGCTCTCCGGGGGCAGGGGCTGTGGACGCGCGGGGAGGGCAGCTGGATCATCCACTCATGCGGGACCCCGGGGCAGTCCTGCCTGCTCTGGGCCCCGGGGCTCCGTGGGGAGAGGCTTAGTTCCCAAGAGTTTGGGTGGGGGTGACCAGGGAGATCCTCCAGGGCAGTGGAGACTTACTTTTCCCAGCTCCAGAGATCATGGAGCATTTCCTCGTTGGATAGTAGAAACTGAATTCAAGACAAATGAGGGGATTGCCCTGGTCACAGAGTTGTAAAGCTACGTTTTTAAAGTCTGGGACGGTCCTCTCAGTACACTATATACTGCTTCTAGTGCGTGGGTAATTCCTGCCCCCAAGGCCTTGGTGAGCCTGGTGGGCATTTTGCTCTTATGGTCTGTGCAGATAGACTCTCTGTATCATTTAACTGAAGGTCAACTGTTATACTTTGGGTAACATCATGGTTGTGACCTTCCGGTTGTCTCCATCTCAATGGTATCTTCCTGGACCTTTGACATTAAAGCCAGTAGTTTCTGTGTTGCCATTGGTATCAAGTAGTCGTCGATGTGGGAAACGTCCAAACCTGCAGAGAGTTTTTACTGACAACGTATGGAAGGGGAGCAAGATCTCAAATGCGCTAGAGAATAATAGTTTTTTAGTTTCTTTTATGCATTTGAGATTAAGGAGAGAACTAAGGAAGATTACATGAAGGTAATAGAGAACAAGGTGGGAATCACATTATAAAATAATTAAGGAGATTCCGTGTTCTCTTGAGGGTGGTGTTGCTTCTGAGGGGACCGAAAAGAGACATTTCAAAGAAGCATTAGCCTAAAAGCACAGAAACAATGGACAGACCTTGTTTAAGGCAAAGATAATTCTTTTACTAAAGAAATTATATGCCTGGGGCATGCCTACCCACCAGGACCTGCCCAGTTCAGAATTTATGATAAGATCATCCTGTGAGGCTATTTTCCATATTTTTCAGAGAACCCCTGTTTTCTGTCCACATAGCTGAGAGGGCCCGATGTCATCTCCCTTTCCGCAGGCAGGTTCTTCTGTTCAGCCTCATTTAATTTTTATTCCTTTTAGCAAAAACCCTCACTGGCATGAGGCCAGGTGCAGCGTAGGTCATTTGAAGTTTATCTTTCAAGTCTTAAAAGCCTCCATTTCCCAGAGCACCAGCAGGCAGGAAGGAACATTGCCCTCAGCCCATATTTAACCTAGAAAATGACCTTTCGTTTTGTGCTGGCCTTCCCTCTTCCCGTTGTGCCCCATATCTGGACAACCTGGTAATAAAGCCTGTGCACTTCCTGCTTTGCACTGGAGGGAGATTTGAACCACGCGTGCCCCTCCGCACATGGAGAACCCTCGCCTCAGCCCCACTTTCTAACCACAGTGAAATCCCAGGCTTCTCTCTTTTCCTTGCTTTCACGAGCCATTTCAAAACTGCTCGACAGGCCTGTCCTGCTCTCCCCAGAATCCTCACTTATGTAAGTAATAAAACTTTGCTTGCCCTCTTTGTGTTCTCAATGTCAACATCCAAACCAAATTTTAGGTGGGGGTCGTCCACAAAAGAACATCCAGCTTAAGAAAAGATTTTATAAGAATTTAGTTGATAATTAAAAAAAATTTTTTTAGGAAAGAAAAAAAGAGTTTATTTGAGCCAATCTGATGACAATTGGCCAGAAAGCAAAATCTCAACAGATTGAGAAACTGCTCCAGAGAATGGCAGTTGTGTAGCTTATTTTATACCTTAGAATCAAAGGAGGAGACGTAAGGAGGGTCACATGACATCCATTGATAGTAGATTCAGGTGGTGGGACAGAGCAAAGCGAAGAAATCTCTGGGTTGGATAAAAAGTAAAACAGAAAGACCTCTTTTACATCGGTGG